AATTAAGGGCCTCCGGAGTTCAGGGCCTCCGGAATGCTGAGCAGATAACAAGCTCCATTAAAGGCCTCCAGAATTCAGTGCCTCCGGAATGCTGAGCAAAGATACCTGAGGTTAGAGCAAAGACAGCCTTATCTGGCTGCGAGACAGGAGATTTATGGACTGGACATAGAAACAAAGAAAGAGAGGATTGCGAGGCCTGAGTCACGTATAAAGCGAGGCTCTCACGAGTCAGGGGCTGTGCAATCAGACATCTGGTCGCCAGCCAGGAAAGGGGGGGGCAGGATAGGAGGAACAGTAAACCGCTGAGTAGTCCCCTCATTGTTATTTAGGTTAAAAATTTACCACCCTGCATCTTGCTTCTGTAAACCTCGCTTTTTGCTCTCCTATAAAAACCCCTCACCCCCAACCTGCGGGGCGCAAGTCCTCCAAGAGACTCTGTCACCCCAGGTACCTGCGTATCCAATAAACCTCTTGCTGTTTGCATCCGGCTGCGTGTTTTCGACTGATCTTTGGGCACGGGGTCTCTCCCGAGGGAAGAGGCCCACGGGAGTCTTTCATTTGGTGCGTTGGCCGGGAATTGAGGCCCCTATCCCAGAGACCGCCGAATCACTGCCGGGAGGTGAGGTAAGCTGGCCAAGATTCTATGTTCTATGTTCTATGTCCTGTACTTGTCTTACGTCTTTTGCGTCTGATTGTTGCGCTGCGAATTTGAATTTGTTCGATTCAGCTGGGTCGGTTTGTATTTGGGCGGGCCTCGGAAAGGAGCTGACAGGCTCAGACTTCCCCCCCCCCCGCACCCTGGGAGACGTCCCGAAGGAGTTTGGGAGCTCGATTTTTCGGGCTCATTTGTTTGAACCCACGACCAGAATCGGATTTTGTCCGAGGGTACGGGGCTCGTTTGTCTGAACCCACGACCAGAGTCGGACTTTTGTCCGAGGGTACGGGGCTCGTTTGGGAGGTGGGGTGTCCGGAGCTCCTTTGTAACCTCCGTTTGCGCAGCGTGTTTGATTGTCGGTCTGTTTGTCCTATTGTGCATCTTTGAGGTTAGTCTGTTTGTTACTGGAACACCAGCATGGGGCAGTCTTTAACTACCCCTCTGAGCCTTACTCTAGAACACTGGTCAGACGTCTCTAAACGAGCGAGCAATCAAACGCTCGAAGTCAAGAAGAAAAAGTGGCAGAGCTTCTGTTCCTCGGAATGGCCCACATTCAACATGGGCTGGCCGCGGGACGGCACTTTCAACAAGAATGTTATTTTGCAGGTCAAGGAACGAGTCTTCGACAAAGGGCCCTGTGGACGCCCTGACCAGGTCGCTTATATCGTTACTTGGGAAAGTTTGACTAATGACCCACCCCCCTGGGTGGCCCCCTTTATTTTTCCAGAGAAATCCCAACCCTCCCTAGGTCTCACTCCTTCGGCCCCGACTCCTCCCCTGCCTTCCCCTCCTCTGCCTTCCCTATCAAAGACTCCCACCCCTACAGTCTCCTCCCTTTATCCTGCACTGACGAAGGAGGAGACCCCCAAACTACATGGGAGACCGAAGGAGACCCATAAGCAGCCATCTGTCCTTCCCCCTGACCCAAATTCCCCTCTTGTCGACCTCCTATCCGAAGATCCTCCCCCCTACAACCCCCAGCAGGAGCCCGAAAATAATGAAGCAGATCTTGCGACGTCCTCGCCCTTGTCACGGAGCTCCCCACCTACTGCCTCCCCTGTCATGAGCAGGCTCCGGGGAAACCGGGAACCGTCTCCCCCGGACTCCACCTCTCAAGCATTTCCCCTGCGACAGGGAAATAACGGCCAGTTTCAATACTGGCCCTTTTCCGCCTCTGATCTATACAACTGGAAACAACACAATCCTCCCTTTTCCAAGGATCCTATGGCATTAACTAGCTTAATAGAGTCTATTCTGCTTACACACCAACCAACCTGGGACGATTGTCAACAGCTACTACAGACCCTCTGTAGAGGACCGCAACCACATTCGCCATTCCAAGATGGCGCTGACATCCGGTTCCACTGCGTGGTGAACAGGATAACGCGCATGTGTTGGCAAATTTCCAACACTGTAGTCCCTGCCTCTCCCGAGGCGTCATCTGGGATGATGGGCAGCTGACCAATCTGAGAGTGACACGTCCGAGGCGGGGACTATTTCCTATATAAGGGCTGGGTTCGCCTCGCTCTGGGTCTCCGCCATGTCGGCTTATGCTCTCGCTCTCAAGACGCATTAAAAAGCTGTTCTGCAGAAGGATCCTACGTGCCCTGCGTTGTTCTTGCTGGCGAGACAGTAGCGCGGGACAACCCTCCTCACCTCTGAGGAAAAACAAAGGGTCTTCGTAGAGGCACGAAAGCAGGTTCCCGGAGAAGATGGGAGGCCAACCCAGTTGCCCAACGAGATTGATGCTGCCTTCCCCCTCACTAGGCCTGACTGGGATTTTACTACGATCGCAGGTAGGACACACTTACGCCTTTATCGCCAGTTGCTCATAGTGGGTCTCCGAGGGGCTGGTCGTCGCCCCACAAATTTGGCACAGGTAAAGCAAACGATTCAAGGGGCAGATGAGTCTCCAGCAGCTTTTTTAGAAAGGCTTAAGGAAGCATATCGTATGTATACGCCTTATGATCCCGAGGACCCAGGGCAGGCTAACGGCTTGTCAATGTCCTTTATCTGTCAGTCAGCACCTGACATCAGGAACAAGTTACAGAGGCTGGAGAATTTGCAGGGGTATACACTACAGGATCTACTTAAGGAGGCAGAGAAAATCTTCAACAAAAGGGAGACTCAAGAAGAAAGGGAGGACCATATCCGTAGAGAGAAAGAAGAAAGGGAAGATAGATTGAGAAGGGAAGCAGAGGAAAAGGAGGAGGCTAGAGATAGAAAAAGGAATAGGGAATTGAGCCGTCTCTTGGCCGCCGCAGTTCAGAGCCAGGAAAGTCAACAGGGAGATAGGATGGGAGAACGGAGAGGCCCTCGTGTGGAACGCGACCAATGCGCCTACTGCAAGGAAAGAGGACACTGGGCGAAAGACTGCCCTAAAAATACTCGTAAACCCAGAGGCCCCAAACCACGAGCCTCACTCCTGGCCCTAGATGAAGACTAGGGAGGTCAGGGCCAGGAGCCCCCCCCCCCTGAGCCCAGGTTAACACTTGATGTCGGGGGGCAGCCGGTTACTTTCCTAGTAGATACTGGAGCCCAGCATTCGGTTCTTACCCGGTCACCTGGACCGCTCAGTGAACGGACCGCTTGGGTACAAGGAGCCACCAGCGGAAGACAATATCGCTGGACCACCGAGCGGAAGGTGCAATTAGCAACTGGTAAAGTAACTCATTCTTTCCTACATGTTCCAGACTGCCCCTATCCATTACTGGGGCGAGACTTACTCACCAAACTGAAAGCCCAAATTCATTTTGAGGGGACAGGAGTTCGAGTGTCGGGCCCAAACGGGGACCCCCTCCAGGTCTTGACTTTACAATTGGAGGACGAATACCGGCTATACGAACAGGACCCCAAGGTACAAGGGTCCAGGGACTTGGACATATGGCTTACAGAGTACCCACAGGCATGGGCCGAAACGGGAGGTATGGGGCTAGCGCTACAGCAGCCCCCATTGGTTGTAGCCCTAAAAGCCTCAGCCACCCCAATCTCAGTCAAGCAATACCCCATGTCAAATGAGGCCTACCAGGGGATAAGACCTCATATCAAGAGGCTATTAGAAGAAGGCATACTGACTCCCTGCCGGTCACCTTGGAATACCCCCCTCCTTCCAGTAAAGAAACCAGGGACGAAGGATTACAGGCTGGTACAGGACCTCAGGGAAGTAAATAAGAGAGTTGAAGACATACACCCGACCGTCCCCAATCCATAATTTACTAAGCACCCTGCCACTTTCGCACACCTGGTATACGGTGCTAGACTTGAAGGACGCCTTCTTCTGTCTCAGATTAAGCCCCAAAAGTCAACCCCTTTTCGCCTTCGAATGGAGAGACCCCGAATTGGGGATTTCAGGCCAACTGACATGGACCCGGCTCCCACAGGGCTATAAGAATAGCCCCACCCTATTTGATGAGGCCTTACACCAGGACCTTGCAGACTTCAGAGTTCAACACCCGTCATTGATCCTGCTCCAGTATGTGGATGATCTTCTGCTGGCAGCCCCCACAGAACATGACTGCCGACAAGGTACGGGGGCCCTATTGCAGACCCTGGGACGGCTGGGCTATCGAGCATCCGCCAAAAAGGCCCAGATATGCCAGACTGAGGTGACTTATTTGGGATATAAGTTAAAAAAGGGACAGTGTTGGCTCACAGCCGCACGCAAAGCGACTGTATCCTGCATACCTGTACCCCGAAACCCTCGCCAGTTGAGGGAATTCCTGGGGACAGCTGGGTTCTGCCGCTTATGGATACCAGGCTTCACTGAAATGGCAGCTCCCCTCTATCCCCTCACCAAGCATGGGGTCCCATTTGAATGGACAGATAAACAACAAGGGGCTTTCGAGAACATCAAACGGGCCCTCCTCTCCTCCCCGGCACTGAGTTTGCCGGACGTCACTAAGCCATTCGAACTGTTTGTTGATGAAAAACAAGGATATGCCAAGGGGGTTTTGACCCAAAGACTTGGACCATGGAAACGCCCTGTCGCATACTTATCAAATAAATTAGACCCAGTGGCCTCAGGCTGGCCCCCTTGCCTACGGATGGTGGCAGCCATTGCCGTCCTTATTAAGGATGCTGGCAAACTGACTTTGGGACAGCCCCTGACCATTCTGGCACCCCATGCCATCGAGGCCTTGATTAGGCAGCCCCCTGACCGGTGGCTCTCCAACGCCCGCATGACCCACTACCAATCCTTGCTGTTGGATACAGACCGAATCCAGTTTGGACCTGTAGTCGCCCTTAATCCGGCGACCTTGTTACCCACACCGGAAGGACCAGACCAGCATGACTGCCTTCAGATCCTCGCAGAAATGCATGGAACCTGGACGGACTTGACTAATCAGCCCCTCCCAGATGCGGACCACACCTGGTACACCGATGGGAGCAGTTACCTACTAAATGGAGAACGCAGGGCGGGAGCCGCAGTTACCACGGAGACCCAGGTAATCTGGGCCAGTGCATTACCCAGTGGCACCTCGGCCCAACGAGCTGAACTCATCGCTCTGACTCGAGCCCTTAGATTGGCAGAAGGTAAGAAGCTGAATGTTTATACTGATAGTCGGTATGCATTCGCCACTGCACACATACATGGAGAAATATACCGGAGACGAGGGCTCTTAACCTCAGAAGGCAAGGAAATTAAAAATAAAGCAGAGATCCTTGCTCTATTAGAAGCCTTATTCCTCCCCAAAAGACTGAGCATTATGCACTGTCCCGGACACCAAAAAGGAGATCACGCTGAGGCCAGAGGAAATCGGCGGGCGGATGAAGCGGCCCGAGAGGCTGCATTGGGACCACAAATTCTCCCCCTAATATCCGAGGCCGTCCAATCCACAATAGACTGGGCCTATGATAAAGAGGACATACACCTACTCCAAAAATTGGGGGCAGAATACAACTCAGCGAATAGACGATGGATTTATCGGGGAAAAATAGCAGTGCCCATAAAAATAACCCATGAACTTATAGACTATTTACATAAATTGACCCATTTGGGTACAAAGAAAATGAAAATCCTCCTAGACAGAATGGAGACTGGACAATTCCTCCTGAACAGGGATAGGGCACTCCAACGGACAATAGACAATTGCAGGGCCTGTGCCCAAATTAATACAGGCCACTCGAAAACCCTCCAAGGGGTGCGTCTCCGAGGACACCGGCCTGGCATCCACTGGGAAATAGACTTCACCGAAATTAAACCTGGTTTGTATGGGTACAGATACTTGCTGGTTTTTATAGACACCTTTTCAGGATGGGTAGAGGCCTATCCCACCAAACATGAAACAGCCAGGATGGTTGCCAAGAAGTTATTGGAAGAAATTTTTCCCCGATACGGGATGCCAAAGGTATTGGGATCTGATAACGGGCCAGCCTTCGTCTCCCAGGTAAGTCAGTTGGTGGCCAAGTTACTGGGGATTGATTGGAAATTACATTGTGCTTATAGACCCCAGAGTTCAGGACAGGTAGAGCGTATGAACAGAACCATTAAGGAGACTTTGTCTAAATTAGCGCTCGCAACTGGCACAAAGGATTGGGTGCTGCTCCTACCCCTAGCTCTATATCGAGCCAGGAACACTCCTGGGCCACATGGCCTTACCCCATTTGAAATATTGTACGGGGCACCGCCTCCAGCCGTACATTTCTTCGATACGGACATTGCAGACTATGCTAACTCCCCTTCTCTACAAGCCCATTTACAGGCCCTGCAGCTGGTATAACAAGAGGTCTGGAAACCCCTGGCAGCAGCCTACCAAGACAGCCTCAGCCAGCCGGTAGTGCCCCATCAATACCAGATTGGAGACACTGTTTGTGTCCGTAGACATCAGACCAAGAACCTGGAACCGCGCTGGAAAGGACCGTTTACTGTTCTCCTGACCACCCCAACGACGCTTAAGGTGGACGGAATTGCTGCTTGGATCCACGCCTCACACGTGAAAGCCGCCAGCCCAGGAGAACAAACGACTAGCCATAAGAAAGGATGGAAGGTCCAACGCTCCCAGAACCCCCTAAAGATAAGACTGGTGCGGGAATAATGTTATGGGTATTACTCTTTCCAATGTTGATCTCGGGATCCATGGGGGCTCGTAATGGAAGCCCCCACACAATTTACTCCTTAACTTGGCAGATTATTTCCCAGACCGGGGAAATAGTCTGGAAGAAAACTGGCCAACATGCCCTCAACACCTGGTGGCCGCCCCTGACCCCAGACTTTTGTCAATTAGCAGCTGGTTTAGACACCTGGGATGTTCCCATCGAGGATCCTATCAACTCTGAGGACAACCTGCCACGCGCTAGGCGTGCGGCCATAGAGGTTAGCTCATCCGGACCCATACAAACTTCCCCTGGATGCAGGGACAGTTGGGCTAAAGATAGGCTGGCTTCATTAGATTTCTATGTGTGTCCAAGGGATGATAGAAGCAGAGACAAAGCATATGCTTGTGGCGGATATGAACAATACTTCTGTGCTCAATGGACATGTGAAACCACTGGGGATGCCTACTGGAATCCCTCCTCCTCCTGGGACAAAATTATTGTCAAGAGAGGCTGGGTTAAAAATGGGGCAGGAACCACTTCGCTGCCCCTTAACATTACATTCACTGACAAGGGTAAACAAGCCCTGGAATGGCAGAAAGGTTATACCTGGGGACTACGCTGGCATATGTCAGGGACAGATAAAGGGGTGATATTCAAAGTACAACTTAAGGTAAAGACAGCGGCTAATCAAGTTTTGGAAGACCAGCGGCTTCCATCTATTCAGGAATATAAGGGACCATCAATTAATCACAATGTACCACCTGTTATGCCCAGTCCACCTAGGACCCATGGCTCAACTCCCACCCCTATCCCCCCAGCAGCCACAATTGAGCCGGAAAGAGGAACGGGAGATCGTCTTTTAGGCCTCATTAGGGGGGCTTACCAGGCCTTAAATCACTCAGATCCAGATCGGGCCAACAACTGCTGGCTCTGTCTTAACCCAAGTCCCCCATACTATGAAGGGATAGCCCTCTGGGGTAACTATAGCAATGTCACTTCGCCACCCCCCACCTGCCAAGGCATGGATCACCATCTAACCCTTACCCAGGTGACAGGCACCGGATCTTGCATAGGAGCTGCGTCTGGCCAGCCCTTTTGCACTTCAACCATGGCCGTCATCAAGGGGGACTATTATTTAATTCCACCGGAAGGGACCCTTTGGGCTTGTAACACTGGCCTGACTCCCTGTGTTTCGGCAGCAGTGTTCAACCAAACTCATGAATATTGTGTTTTGGTACAAATTTGGCCACACATCATATACCACTCGAATGAGACCATCCTCCAATATTATGGATACTTACCCCAAAGGGAAAAACGGGAGGCTGTTACTTTGACCCTGGCCATGCTCTTAGGGGTGGGGGGGGTTGCGGCAGGGATAGGCACTGGGACTGCCGCCCTGGTGCGCACGGACCAATATATGCTTTTACATCAAGCTATGAATGAGGATCTGAGGGCCCTTGAAAAGTCGGTTAGAGCCCTGACGGAGTCATTGGCTTCCTTATCCGAGGTGGTGCTGCAAAACCGGAGAGGACTAGATTTGCTCTTTCTAAAGGAAGGAGGACTTTGCGCAGCCTTAAGAGAAGAATGTTGTTTTTATACTGATAATACCAGAGTGGTGACTGAAACCTTAGATAAGTTAAAAGAAAGGCTAGAAAAGCGTAAAAAAGAATTTGAAGCACAACAGACATGGTATGAGGGGCTTTGGAACCGATCCCCATGGTTCACTACCTTAATCTCTTCCCTAATGGGACCTATAATCCTGTTGATGTTAATTCTTACGGTTGGCCCTTGCATTGTAAATCGGTTGATTCAATTTATTAAGGACAGACTTTCAGTCATTCAAACCCTGGTCTTAACCAGCCAGTACCAAAAATTGAGCCAAAGCGAGAAAGAGATCCTATAAATACTTGAGTAAAAGGTTTTACTCCATGATAAAAAAACACAAAATGGGGGAATGAAGGACCCCAACTCGTCTTAACCACAGTTATGCCATTCTGCAAAGGTTTTCAGATAGCAAGCTTAATTAAGGGCCTCCGGAGTTCAGGGCCTCCGGAATGCTGAGCAGATAGCAAGCTTAATTAAGGGCCTCCAGAGTTCAGGGCCTCCCGAATGCTGAGCAGATAACAAGCTCCATTAAAGGCCTCCGGAATTCAGTGCCTCCGGAATGCTGAGCAAAGATACCTGAGGTTAGAGCAAAGATAGCCTTATCTGGCTGCGAGACAGGAGATTTATGGACTGGACATAGAAACAAAGAAAGAGAGGATTGCGAGGCCTGAGTCACGTATAAAGCGAGGCTCTCACGAGTCAGGGGCTGTGCAATCAGACATCTGGTCGCCAGCCAGGAAAGGGGGGGCAGGATAGGAGGAACAGTAAACCGCTGAGTAGTCCCCTCATTGTTATTTAGGTTAAAAATTTACCACCCTGCATCTTGCTTCTGTAAACCTCGCTTTTTGCTCTCCTATAAAAACCCCTCACCCCCAACCTGCGGGGCGCAAGTCCTCCGAGAGACTCTGTTGCCCCAGGTACCTGCGTATCCAATAAACCTCTTGCTGTTTGCATCCGGCTGCGTGTTTTCGACTGATCTTTGGGCACGGGGTCTCTCCCGAGGGAAGATGCCCACGGGAGTCTTTCAGCTTATGTAAACTATCATATCATCATCAAATAATGAGAGTTTGACTTCTTCTTTCCTGATTTGTATCCCCGTGATCTTCTTTTGATACCTTATTGCTCTAGCTAGGACCTCAAGAACTATATTGAATAGATATGGAAATTGTGGACAACATTATCTAGTTCCTGATTTCAGTGGAATCGCTGGGAGTGTCTCTCCATTTAATTTGATATTGACTGTTGACTTGCGGTATATTGACTTGTTGTACTTGACTTCTTGTATGTTGACTTGCCTTTATTATGTTTAGGTATGTTCCTTTTACCCCTGTACTCTCCAAGACCTTTATCATGAATGGATGTTGCTTTTATCGAAAGCTTTTTAGGCATCTAATGAGATGATTATGTTCTTTTTATTTTTCAGTTTGTTTATATGGTGGATTACATTGACAGATTTTTATATGTTAAACTATCCCTGCATCTGTGGGATGAAACTGACTTGATCATGGTGGATGATGGTTCTGATGTGTTCTTGGATTCGATTTGCCAGTATTTTATTTAGTATTTTTGCATCAATGTTCATGAGTGAAATTGGTCTGTAATTCTCCTTATTAGAAATGTCTTTCTGTGGTTTGGGTATCAGGGTAATTGTAGCCTCATAAAGAGAGTTTGGCATTGTTTCTTCTGTCTCTATTGTGTGGAATAATTTGAGGAGTATTGGTATTAGTTCTTCTTTGATAGTGTTAAAATTCTGAGTGGAAACCATCTGGTCCTGGGCTTTTATCCATTGGGAAACTTTTGATGACCGTTTCTATTTCTTCAGCAGTTATAGACTTGTTTAATTTGCTTATCTGGTCTTGATTTAATTTTGGTAAGTGATATTTATGCAGAATGTTGTTCATTTCCTTTAAGTTTTCCAATTTTGCGGAGTACAGGTTTTCAAAATATGATCTAATGATTCCCTGTACTTCCTCTGTGTCTATTTTGTTGATTTTCTCGAAGAACCAACTCTTTGTCTATTTAATTTTTGTATTTTTTTGTTTCTATTTTGTTGATTTTAGCTCTCAATTTGATTATTTCCTGCCATCTAGTTCTTGTGGGTCAGTTTGCTTCCTTTTGTTCTAAAGTTTTCAAATGTTCTGTTAATTCACTAGTGTAGGATTTTTCCAGCTTCTTTATGTAGGCATTTAGTGCTATGAACTTGCCTCTTAACACTGCTTTCATTGTGTCCCATAAATTTGGGTATGATGTATGGTCATTTTCTTTGAATTTTAGGAAGTCTTTAATTTCCCCCTTTATTTCTTCCTTGACTCATTAATGATTCAGGTGAGCATTGTTTAATTTCCATGTGTTTGTGGGTTTTCTGAAATTAGTGTTTCTGTTGACTTCTAGTATTAAACCATGGTGATCTGATAATATACATGAGATTATTCAATTATTTTTGTATTTGTTGATGTTTGTTTTGTTACCAAATATGTGGTCAATTTTTGAGAAGGTTCTATGAGGTGCTGAGAAGAAGGTATATTCTTTTCTGTTTGGATGGAATATTCTATAGATGTCTGTTACGTCCATTTGAGTAATAACATCTGTTAGTTCTCTTATTTCTCTATTCATTTTTTGTCTGATTGACCTGTCCAGTGGCGAGAGTGGAGTGTTGAAGTCTCCCACTATTAGTGTGTGGGGTTTAATGTATGATTTAAGCTTTAGAAGTGCTTCTTTTAC